AAGAAATAAACGAACTTCGGTAGAATCATACACACGGGCAAAAATATAATCTACTACAGTTATGTGTAATTAAGGGAAATGAGGGAAGGGTTAGACTCGTTCAAAATCACCCGTCGTCATCGTCACCGGCGAACGCCCTTTATTCTCCGCCAAATCTTTCATTTATTGTTCTTATTTTTTTGTTATATCTTTCCTTTTTTTTTATTTATAATTATTTTAGTTTTTTTCTTTAATTCTTCAACCCATTTTTTACTGTTAACCTTCAAAATTTCATAGCACTACTCCAACCAAAAACTTTGCTTCAGTTCACAAAAATAATTACAGAAATCTCGAAAACAGCTTATTCTCAAAAGATACATTTTTTTTCTTTTTTTCTTCATAAACACATGAGTTCAAACAAGTATACAGAGAAGAAACAACCTTCAAAGTTCTAATTCTTTCTTTTTTCAGTTTTTTCACTTCCAAATTTCTCCCTGTATAGCTTTTCAGAAACAGAAAATGCATTCAAATCTTGTTCTGATTACTAGGACAAAGTATCGAACATATGAATTGCAATCTTATAAAACCTCTTCTTGTACTTCTTCACTTTTATGAATACTTCTGGGTTGGTGGTTTTTGTCTTCAATGAGAAAATTAAAAGGAAATTGAAACTTGAAGGGGAATGGGTCGGGGCTCACGGGCGGATATACCTTGCGACAACCAGTGTCTTTGACACAGCTTCGTCGTATTTTTATTATAGTATATATAATCGGGTATAAATATACAAAATGACACCACTTTTTATTTTAGTAATTTATTCATTTTTTATTTTTAAATTATAACACCGGTTACCTAAAATTCTGCATAAGCCTTTGGGTAATGGGCTAAAAAGGGATGCACTCGTAAAGGTATATCGGATATTAAATTAAAACTAGTAGTCGAACCCGCGCGATGCGCGGTCAATATTAAAAAAATATTTGTCATTTTGTTAATTTTTCGATGTTACATTTGGAATTATCACAATTATTTGATTATCCTATTCTATATAAATAGAATAGATATTGTCTAAATTTTAATAAATAAAATCTCAATTAAATTAAGGGGACTTATATAGTCATCAAATAATTTTTTCGTTATGTATTTTTATTTATTATATTATCCAATATTTAGTATAATTATATTGTTAATAGAAATTATGACACTTGTCATTATAACATTTCTTTGCCTCTCCTATATATATATATATATATATATATATATATATATATATATATATATATATATATATATTTCTTTGACTCTCCTATTATATATATTATATATTATATATTATACATATATTATATTATATTATATATTATTTATACAAATAGATTTTTCATTTTTTTATTTTAGAATAATTTTAAAACTCCAATTTGAAACTACTTCCCAATTTGAATTAGTAATTCATTATTTTATTTAATTTTGTTTTTTATTTTAAAATTATTTTTAAACTCCAACTTGAAACTACTTTCCGATTTGAATGGGTAGTTTTTCTTCTCTTTTTTTTTTTTTTTATAGGTTAATTTTTTTTTTGATTTTTATTTTAAAATAATTTAAAAACTCAAACTTGAAACTACTCCCACCTAATTTGAATGCGTAGTTTTTTTTTATATATTTATTTTTTGTAGTTTTTTTATTATATTTAATTATAAGATATCTATATTTGTTAAATCCAAATAAAGTAACCTTATAGTTTTTTATTTTATTTTATTATTTTCGTTTTTTATATGTATATTATATATAAATAGATTATTCATTTTTTTAATTTTAAAATAATTTTAAAACTCCAATTTGAAACTACTCCCCAATTTGAATTGGTAATTCATTATTTTTTTTAATTTCGTTTTTTATTTTAAAATAATTTAAAAACTCAAACTTGAAACTACTCCCACCCAATTTGAATGGGTAGTTATTTTTTATATATTTATTTTTCGTTTTTTTATTATATTTAATTATATGATATCTATATTTATTAATCCAAATAAAGTAACCAACTAATATATATGGTAGTTTTTTATTGTATTTTATTATTTTCTTTTTTGATATGTATTTAAATTCAAAAATAAGTAACCAGTAACTAATTATAAACTAATAACTAATTAGTAACCAATCATGCCATGTGGCATTTTTTTAGGCTGCCACTTGGCTTAAGGAGAGGGCTTTTTCCTCTCCTTTTAATAATATATAGATTGGGAATGGGTTATCTTAGATTTCAGCTTGTCATGTGTCATTCCGTCTAAATTTAAGGTATATTTGCTTCATACTACAGTCAGACCTCTCTATAACATACTCGTTTGTTCCGAATATTTGTAGATATTATAGCGGACTGCTGTTATAGAGAACATATATTATAACATAACATAAAAATTAGTTCCGAAAAAGTTTGATTTTTATAGTGAGATGTTATTATATAGGGATGCCATTATGAAAAGGTCTGATTGTATAATGATACGGTAGAGTCTCAATTGAACGGATTATAAAATAAAAATAATTAAATTTATCCCAAAATAAAATTATACAGCCGCGAGTTTATTCAGGTTACCGCGCTGTCGCATGTCGCGCACATGCAACCTGATTTAAAGTCTATTCGTGTACCAAATGTCTAGCTACATGTGATGATGTGATAAATTTACTTTTTGGCTTTTTTCAACGCGAAACAGTTTCAGCCTAAAATGGTTTCAAGGACATGCTCATAATGTTATCTAAAGTCATATAAAGAGAAAATGGTTCAACCTCTCAAACAGGGTACGTAGTTGTTAGGACTTGACTCTTTGTCATCAGGCGTGGGCACGGCTGTGGCAAGGATTGGGGCATGATGGCCTTGTCATTGGCTTATGTGCGGGCAAAACGATCATGCGGGCGACGGACAAGACATTGTCATTGAGAGTTGTTGTGGGCAAGTATTGGCCAAGGCCTTGGGACAGGCAAGGCGCACTTGGCAAAGGCTTGACAAGGCAGTGTGCGCAGTGCTGGGGCGGCATGGCATGGCATGCGCCCCAAAATCAGTGGCACGGACACTTTGGGTTGTGGCAGCGACAAATGTGGGCTAAGCTAAAATGCGGATGAGCTAGATGATGGCAAAGGCTTTCAATAGCTATGGCAAGGCTATGTGACGGAAAATACAAGCAATGGCACGAGGGAAACAAAGGTTGACATGGGCAAGGCAGAAACTAGGCCAAGGCAATGTGCGGGCGGCAGCGGCGTCGGGCGTGTGCGAAAAAATCATGGCAGCAGGATGCGGGCAAGACATTGGTGCGGAGCAATGTCAAAATGAGCTAAGGCTTGGCACAAAGCAATCCTTGGGCGTGAAGCATAGCTGACCAAGTCAAAAGACACATGCAAGGCACATGCCAAAGTAGTTGGCGGTTACAGTTTCATAACCACTTGTACCAATAATCTCCCATGACTGATTATGTTTGTATCCATTATCCATTTCGTGTATATCATGGCCTAAGTAGTTGGGGATGTCAACTACAAGTTAGGAACAGATTTAGCCTTAGCCCGACAAGTGGCAAAAGCTGTAGACAACAAGTGTCCATGTGCTGTAAAGTTTTAAGGCTGCCTATGTTCTATAAATAGGGCCTTTGGACTTAGTCAGATTGGTGTGGGAAATTTTGTGTGAAATTATAAGTGGGAAATAAGAGGGAAACGTGAGGGTTTCAAAGTGTTTTAAAGGGGACTAAGGCTAGGCTTGCGCAGGTCTTAGTGTTGGCCAAGAACGACTTGTGTTCTTTGTCAAAAGTGGGCTGTGAACGACTTGTGTTCATAGCGAAGTGAGGGTTCCTTTGTATATTTTCGAAATTAATACAAGGGTTGGGAATTTTCCCGTATTGGCTTTGTGTTCTTACAGATTTTCTGATTTGCTGCCTAAAAATTTGTTAAGGCCAAACTTGCTGAAATTTGGCTAAGTGTTAAGGAAGGCTGAGTCAAGTGCGGAACTTGACTGCCACACGGGTGTGACTTTGGACTGGCCAAAAATGCCCCGGTGACAACTGGTATCAGAGCGGAGTAGGTTCGTCGCAGTGGCAAAACAACCAGTGGCAGATTTTGTGGTGCTATTTGAGAACATGGCTGGTGGCACAAATGCTGAACTGCGTCAAAGGGTTGAGCAGTTGGAAGCACTGGTTGGGCAGGCTCTTGAAGTAGATGGCGATTCTTCTGTTCTTGCTAGGATGGCACGTTTAGAGGCAGATTATGCTGCGAGACATGAGACTACGCTGGCAGAAATGGCCTTGGTACGTCAAGAGAAGGAAGAACTGCGCGAAGAGGTGGCTCAACTTCGAAGGGCATTGCAAAATTCTGCCCCTAGAAGTGATGAACGCACTAAGTTGAGAATTCCGGAGCCATAGGCTTATGGTGGTGCAAGAAGTGCCAAAGAACTGGAAAATTTCTTATGGGATATGGAGCAGAATTTCCAAGCTGCTCGTGTGCCGGATGATGAAAAGGTGGTGATCACACCTATGTATTTGACTGATGATGCAAAAGTGTGGTGGCGTACACGAGTTGCTCATGCGAAAAGTGCTGGACTGCCCAAGATTGAGACTTGGGAGATGCTGAAGAAGGAATTAAAATCTCAATTCCTTCCAACTAACTCATCGTGGATTGCAAGAGATGGACTGCGTCACTTGAAACAAGGTGGCACGGTGAGGGAGTATGTCAAGAAATTTTCATCCTTGATGCTGAATGTAAGTAATATGGCAGAGGAAGATAAGCTGCATTACTTAACGAGCGGATTGAAGGGTTGGGCGCAATTGGAGTTGAGAAGGCAGAATGTTAAAGCCTCTCTACTGCCATTGCAGCGGCAGATGCGTTGGCGGACCGAAACATAGGTGATGACCCTACTGAAACTTCGCATTCAAAATCCGACGGAAAGAAAGACAAGGCAAGGGAATGGAAGAAAAGCGGAAAGGGCCAAGCTACCTAAGATGAGGGACTTGCCAAGAATGTGAGACATGAGAATCACAACGGCAAGGAAAGGAGCAGCATTAAAGGACTTAGGTAATATTTCACCTTCAGGAAACACATCTTTTAACAACTCTAACAACATGGAAAATGAATTGTTACTCCACCCATTGAGACACTTTAAATGTAATAGACGAACAAGAAAAGAAAGAAGTGAATATTTGCTTCCGGGATATAATTCACGCTCAGCTTCTTTCAATAAATTAAAAAACTTTTCAGTTTTCTTATCAAATCCCACATTATGTTGATTTGACCCACCAAAACTATCACCATGAGTGTCCATATTAATAAAGTCAGTAGTAGGAGGAACTCCAAAAGCATCATGCAACAAGCCATGTATCTCATCACCTCTATCTAATCTATCCACAGACATTGATGAAGATGATGCCTCACCATGAAAAATCCAATTAACGTAACTAGGTAGAAATCAATCAACCACAATATGTTCAACAATCAACTCTTTCAAGATAAATTTCATATTACGACACTTCCGATATGGACACAAGATTTCAGATGCATTAGGCCTATCTAATGAAGCAAAATGAAGAAACTTTTTGGCTCCATTCTCATACAGAGGATCATTCCTATTCAATATGTTTATCCAACTCTTATCCATTAAGAATAACCTATACATATAGCAAAAAAATCAGCTAAAAAAGAGTACTTATAGATAGAAACTAGAAAGATTATATCACAGACTACGAATATATATTATAATGTATACACTTTACTAATGACTATACAAATGTATTCATCTAGCATGGCAAAAAACACATGTAGTTTCTTTATTTTTTCAAGTGAATCTTACAAACTAGTTCACTCTATCGCCACAATATTTAATATTTTATCAAAACTAAGCATATAGGACTATAGAATACCATAATTGACATCTTAAGTAAATATAACTTTTGAAAAACAAGTATCAAATTGATGTTTGATTGAACTTGATTTAGATCTATTTTAGATTGAACTAGTAAATGAGATCATACTAATCCAATCTTTTTAAATAGTACCATTATTTCTATACATACATGCTTTGATGTGGGAATATTTTGGAGTTTATTTGCTGCATGTTTTGGAATTTCTTGAGTACACAAATGGGACTATGGGGGAGAGGTGCAAAAGCTAGAGTTGTTAAAATGAAAAGAAGTAGAGTTTGGGTTGAAAACATGTAGCTTATATACTTGCATACATGCAATGCTATATAAATATACTTCTTGTTATTGTATTTCAATAGGTTATTATATAAACCCTTGTATGTACTGAAAACTGTTGAACATTGTGCCTGAGTGTAGTATGTCTATTTAGAAGCCATGATACTTGTGTGTGGCTTGGCAATCCACCATGAAGTCAAGATGGTGCCATCACCGAGAGCAATAACAAGGTCAGATGGGTGGAACTCTCCACTTTACTGCTAGATTGCGAACAAACTTGTTGTGAGGCCTGCATTTTATTTATCTAGTATAAGTTGGAGTGCCAAAAAATTGGGCAGGTAGGGTCGATAAGGGCAGCCCTGTATGAATGCAGACCTTCTATATGAAATAATCTCCATCCATTTTTGTTAACAATATCTGATCTTGACAAGGAATACAAAGGACCTTCTACTAGAGGTAAGCTTCATCCCCTGTCATTTAGTCATATATGATCTCTTTTAACAGTTCAAATCCTTTCCTGCAGATGAGTATAAGCTCTCATTCTGACCTAGCTTTTTCCATTCTAATTAAATGTGTTTCATGCTCAGGGTCCCGCGAACACTACTATTTGTAGATATTGGATAATCTTGTTAAAGTTCATCACTAAACAAACATCGTGCTGGTGTCTTATATACAATAAAAAAGAAGTTTTAAGTATTACAAACATGCTTTGCAAGCAAACTTGAAGAGCCTAAAAACTAGGAAAGAACAAACCTAGTAAGTTTTTTTAGAACACAAAAATCTCATATTTGAGATATGGAAAAAGCAGAACAAATAAAAAAAATGCCCCCAAAAAATGAACTTTTTTCCATCTATCAATTTGTCAAACTCTATCTCATCCCCAAATAAGTTAGAGTTGCCTATCCAACTTTATATCCAACTTTATTAATATACTAAACAACAAACGTCCAGAAACACACTGTTTGGCCACCCAAAAAATCAAAAACAATCTACCAATCAATACATATAGCAGAAAATTGATAACCCAAATCCGAACAATTAAGAAAAAGAAAGAAATCTGTTAACCCAAATCCGAACAACCAAGAAAAAGAAAGATATCTGTTAACTAAATTGGGTACCTTGAATTTGTAGAAAACAAGCTTTGTGGATCTCAGCAGCAAAAGCCTCAGCCATTTTCGTCTCCAAGTATCTATTATAGCATAGTGGAATACCAAAAATTAGGTTTTTTGTAGAATTCTAACTAAGGAAGGAAAACCATATTTTTTAGAATTGGGAGGAGGGAAGCAAAATTCTTACCGCCAAAATCTTTCCTTCTAAATCTCCAATACTTTCCATACATAGCTCCTTTTGAGTCTTGGGGAAGAGGGAGCAGACGTGAGAAATTTTTCCAAACCCAATTTGACATTTTGACCCAAAATTGATTTTGAGAGAAGAGAGGGGATGAGTCCTCGTGCTTCTAAGGCTTATGACTTAATTAGCTTTCTCAATTGTGGTCAATAAATGTTGGTTACTTGGTTTCATATATATTTTTAATTTTTTAAAAATATTTCATCTTTAAATCCAACATCTAACAAGTAATAGTAATAATAATATATTTTTTGACTAAACATTGATATTTTAATTAAAAGTTTTAAATCGGAAAAATTTATTAAAAGGCGAGGCATATGATGTGGGCATTTCACTGAATATCGGGGGAGGGGTAAGCCTCATGAATCTTTAAATTTTATTTAGTTCAAGAAATCAAAAAAATTTCCGATTTAAAACTTCCAATATATATATATATATATATATATATATATATATAACATAAAAATATATATATATATATATATATATATATATATATAACATAAAAATATAGAAAGTACACTAAAAGTTTAAGAAAATCATACGATTAAGGAAACTCATAAAAAAAAAATATCTAACATGTTTTACAAGTATAAACAATGCAATAGTGTTAAAATTGTTATCAAACTACATATATTTGATTACTTCCCTAAAAGGCTCGAAGTTACAAATTAAACTATTATCAAACTACACATTTAATTACATTCCTAAAAGTAATAATCAATAAACTTTATCAATATTATAATTTAAAATATTATCCCTTCAGAGATAAATACAAAGTATTAAAGTCTCTTTTGGAAGAAATAAATCTAAGAACTACAAATCAATAGCGAGTGAGGATATATAGTTAGACTATCTATATATTCAGAGAAAATGTTCAAATAACATGAACCCATCACGCTCACTTAGTAAATGTACAATTACTATGACTCGCTTTAGTTAAGATCATTTATTGTTAATGTATTTATGAGGGTCAACACTATTAAATCAGAAATATTAAAACAGATGATTTACCTAGTACTTCCTTGACGAGCCCGAGGCCGAGCATTAGACGTTGCTTAGGTGCATAATCTTTATGTTGTGGTGCAATGCAAGCCTCACAAATAAGCCCTACTACTTGAAGCCGCCTCAGTTTATTGTGCAACATATGACTCGCTCCAGGAGCTATCTGGACGTGCCTTCTAACTTATTACTATATGCACACAAGAAACGTAAATCAGTCTATACTTAGGTAATTATCACAATATTTTAAAAAATTAAATATTAAATATAAAGAGGTGTGATATTTTTTTAAGACAAAGAATGATTTAAAATTCTAAGAAACTATAGGAGAATTTCTAACTCGTAGAGTTAATGTTCGTGAATACCGGACAAATAATATGACATTTAAAGTAAGGTCATATTTTTTTGTCATTGTATCAAAATTTTTTACAACATTTGTTAAGTGTCGTATTTTTACTACAGGTTTGCGACCAAATGTCATTTGTTTTATTGACACTTTTATACTACAACATGTCATCCTTTTTTATGATATATAGTTATCCAAATGTCTAATTTTTACCGATATTTTGTAGCAAAATGTCGACTTTTTTACGACATTTCTTAAAAAAGTCATTATGTTGACGACATTTGTATTCAAAGTCCGTTGTTTTAAATATATTTCCTCTCAAACTGTCATTTTTTTACAATATTTAGTATCAAATGTATTATTATACCAATATTAATATTAAATGTCGGTGTTTTACGACATTTGTCACTATGTCAAAAAAAACGGGAAATTTTCCGACATTTTATCCCAATAGTCATAAATAAATGCGTCGTATCTCATATTTCTGTAGAGTGGAACTTGCTTTTTTTAGCTAATTGCCTGTGTCATTGTGCTAATTATTAGAAAAATCTGTGTAAATATATTCTCGTTTTGATTAAACTGTTTCAATTAAGACTTTTCGTTATATCATCTAATCAAATTATGCCCCTCAATTTAGACTAGAGGGAACATGTGGCAAGCCGTGAGAATCAAATACAAGCTCATCCCAATCTTTAGTACCCTATTCCAAGCTAAAACCACCCACCGACCCAAATGAGAAAAAAAAGGAGAATACATTTAAACTAGCCCTTTAAGTTGTCCTGACGATCAGTTAGACACCTTAACTGAGTTCCATTTTTTTCAGCTAGACACTTCATTCATTTAACAAAAAAGATTCAACTAAACACCTGACCTGTTAGCCCCCATCGGTGAAAATGCACTCTTTCAAGAATGCGATTGCCTACCTAAAATAAGTTTATCTTTTTTTTCTTTCCTAAAAATAAAGTGGATCCCACTCTAAATCACCTTTCTTCTTCAAATCTTTTTCCACCCACCTCCAACTTAATACAACCACATTATTATACACGCAACGATAAATACAAAAAAACCTCACCTTAAACTTCCATTTCTTTTATACTACCAATTAAGAAAATGACAATTCAAGTAAGAACTTTGACTCCACCGTTGGATATCAACAGGGGAAAATTTCCCAATTCTTTTCACCCACTTCCTTTCTCCCTTTAATCTTCAAACTGAAAAATTATAGAAAATCCTCTATGTATGTATACGGTCAAAATCAGAGGCCTTCGATTTACATGATCGAGGGTTCGTCATAGGCCCGAGTTCAGGCAAGGTCGAGTTTGAGACCGGTGGACCAGAGGCAAGCTCGAAGATAGAGTGCAATGCCCGGAGACAGGGGTACGAGGAGGACCAGACCCGAGTATACTCGACCCCGAAATAGTACCGTTAGGAATTTGTAACAGAATGAGCTAGATCCCTGCCACATCCCCATAATCGCGGCAGAAATTTCGGAACAAGATTGTATGATTCCGTACTAGGCGGTTAGACAGCTGTATCGAGAATATTCCCTACTGTAAATAGAAATATTCCTTTTTTAGGGTTCCCCTATTATATAAAGGGGACCCCAATCATTTGTAAGATGATCTTATCACTGAGAAAAGTATATACTCTCTACCTTCTTCGCCTACTGTTCATCAGCATTGTCCTTTAGCTCTATTGTTCTTACTTTACTTTTATTACTTAATTGTTCTTATTATTCCAAACCTACCTCGAGGTCACTGAGCTCGAGATCGCTGCTGCTAAGAAACATTAGTTTGATTCACTTTTCTCTTTCATTTCTACTTCATACTTCTTGATTATTAATTGGTATTGAACTAAATCACATATCTTTAAAACCACAAATCAAATTTAATTATTACTCATATTTTCGAGGTAAACAGTTTGGCGCCCACCGTGGAGCTAAAGATAATAGTAATTATTTCTTTACTGATTCTCGTTACACACGTTATTTTTACACTTTTTCTTGTCAAGAATTTTTTATTCTCAAGATGAAACATGTCTGGCTCATTGAATGCACTTGTTCATGACAACGAAGGTCTTGGTGAGAACAACAATGTAGGGGTCGGTGTGCCACCGATAAACCCTGGGGAAGTGCCAAACATGGAACCAGTTGATGTTGGTTCTCACATTGCTATACCTGCATCTCGGGTCCTGAATGGCTTCAACATGGCAAGCGAAACAACAAAGGGAGAAATTATCTTGCTAGTAAACATAGCCGGGACCATACAGGATACGAAGTTCCATGTCATAGAAGGCGACATGAGGTATAACGCGCTCCTCGGGAGACCGTGGATTCACAACATAAGAGCAGTGCCTTCAACTCTTCACCAGATGATGAAGTTTCCGACAGAGGGGGGAGTAAAAATAGTCTACGGGGAGCAACATGCTGCAAAGGAGATGTTTGCAATCGAGCAACTTGCGCCGACTCCGGAACCCTTGACCTCGGAGAAATCAAGCGTCGAAGATAAGCAGACGGCTAAATATCAATCACAGCCCCCAGCCTCGACGGAGTCAGAAAAACAGGTAATCGAAGACGAAGAGGACTTCCTTACCCCTCGAACCTTCGTCGTTCCTGAAGAGTCCGATGCAACCAAGTCAACTGTCGAGGAACTACTCTGCCCGAGAGAAAGGTATACCTCGGAACGGGACTAACCCCCAAACTCAGGAAAAAACTCATTCAATTTCTTATTGATAATATGGATTGCTTTGCTTGGTCCCATTTAGATATGACAGGGATTCCACCGGAAATCACCACACATCGGCTGAGCATCGATCCCAGGTTCAAACCGCTGAAGCAAAAAAGGAGGCCTCAGTCCGAGGTAAGACATGCCTTCATAAAAGACGAGGTAACCAAACTTCTTAAAATAGGATCCATTCGGGAGGTAAAGTACCCCGAGTGGTTAACCAACGTAGTTGTAGTTCCTAAAAAGGAAACAAGCATAGAATGTGTGTAGACTATAAGGACTTGAACAAAGCATGTTCGAAAGATTCTTTCCCATTGCCGAACATCGACCGAATGATCGATGCCACGGCTGGCCACGAGACCTTAACTTTTCTCGATGCCTACTCCGGGTACAATCAAATTCAGATGAACCTGGAAGACCATTAAAAGACTTTATTTATTGCTAAATTTGGAACTTATTGTTACAACATCATGCCCTTCAGGCTTAAAAATGCAGGAGCTACATACCAACGCTTAGTTAACAAAATGTTCGAAGAACAGATAGGTAAAACAATGGAAGTCTATATTGATGATATGTTGGTTAAGTCCCTGCGCGCAGAGGACCATTTTGCTCATTTGCAGGAAACATTCGAAATCTTGAGGAAATGCAACATGAAGCTTAACCCGGAGAAATGTTCCTTCGGAGTCGGTTCGGGTAAATTCCTTGGCTTCATGGTGTCAAATCGAGGTATCGAGATTAACCCCGATAAAATCAAGGCCATCAAAGATATCAAGGTCGTGGATAGCGTGAAAGTCGTGCAAAGGTTAACGGGTCGAATAGCTGCTTTGGGTCGGTTCATTTCGAGGTCATCAGATCGAAGTCACCGATTCTTTTCCTTGCTCAAAAAGAAGAAGGATTTTGCATGGACCCCGGAATGTCAACAAGCCTTAGAAGAATTAAAGCGGTATCTGTCGAGCCCGCCTTTGCTTCACACCCCGAAGGTAGATGAAAGGCTTTATATGTACTTGGCAGTGTCCGAGATAGCGGTAAGTGGGGTACTAGTTCGAGATGAGCAAGGTACGCA